ACATTTCTAAATTTCTCTCTTAAGTCACTTAAGGCCAAATCAACTTGTTGAATTACTATTAAATGTCTATAAGGTCTTACTTGAGGCAAGCTAAGTAATTCATGTCCTAACTCTTCGTCTATTGTGTAAATATATATACGATTTTCAGCTACGCTTATACGAATTCCCGAATAAACATCTGGACTTAGTAAGAGTTTGATAATTTCATCCGCATGCGCTAACCTTTCTTCAGTATGCAATAGCGTATGTATTTGATTATCTTGTATGTTCCATAATCTCGCTAACGGTTCAGTTTGTTGAGCATAAACCGTCAGATATCTTTGTAATGTAAAAATAAATAATGATAAAATTATTAAAAAGTAATCGCTTCTCATGATTGCTTTATTTTATAACTTTTAAATTTTTAAATTTTTTAAAATTTTATAACTTTTAAATTTTAAACATATTATATTTAAATAAAATATCCTTGGCTTTCTATTAACATTTGTTGTAAAATTATATAAATGCAACTAAATGAAAATGAATTTAGTTAATTTATGATCGTACTAAGGGAAAAAATGAAATTAATTAATCTAATTATGATCGTACACTACTATAATTTTTTTTAGGAATTAAGTCCGATAAGTAACTCTCAAGGGTTCATGTTATTTTTACAATATTCATATTTAATTTTATAGTCAATTTAAAAAGAAAAGGCATTATTAAAAGGCACTCCAATGTGATTTTTGTGCAAATCGATTTCCATTTATAATTGAAAAATGTAGCCCGTATCGTAATTTATCCGAATCTTGTAACACTCAAAAGATTGTTTCAATAATGATAATTTATTGGACTAATTAAGAATTAGTCCAATCTTATTAACCCCTGATTTCAATTCTGATCCCTTTAAGAATTAGAGAGGAATCAGTCCATTTAACATTATGCACGAAACAAGCTTTTGATCGACTTTTGATCGACTTTTGATCGACTGTGGTGTACCTTAATAACAACACATATCGATGGATTTTCAAAGAACTCTTAAAACTATGGCGTATTAACTAATTAGGCCGGACCAATTTGATTTGGTGGTTTACATTACCCCCCTCTCTCTTAGTTAAAACCAATTTTTGTGATATATGATTTTGGCCGGAGAGCTAATGTCGGGCGGAATTAAGGTTAAGAATTGTAAGGGTCCGAAAAATTCCGAAGAAAAAATGAACGAGCATAAAATAACAGGAGCGACCGTTCAAATTCGTAGATAATTCCTATACAATTACACGTGATTGTCAACCGATCATATCACAAATCGGCCAATCAGATTACAAAAAAAAAGTTGTGGGATTCACGGAGATTCAAAGAATATATTATTTCGTCCGTTAAATCTACTCTCGTTTCACATAAAATTAAGATATCCGAGCTTTTAAAAGAATACCGGACGATCTCAAAAGAAACAGAGAGTGAGATTCGATTCAAAGATTCAGACAGAAGAATTTGAAAGGAGTATTGTAAAATGTATAAAAAAAATATTTATCAATTGTGTAATCATATTAGTATCATCTACGAATTTGAACGGTCGCTCCTGTTACATAAAATACGAGCAAGGGCGGGCCGATAATTTCCGATTGAAAAAGAATTTTAATCAACTTTGCCATGTATACGTTCCATTTTCATCCTTCTTTTGAAAAAGGAATGTAATGTAAACCACCGAATTA